TCACATTCAGGCCTGACAGATGAGATGTGGCCGCTGTGAGCTTGAAATTGTGGGGAAAAAATAGCAGCATACGGGCTTTGGAACGACACGAGGATGAGTAAACAATGGCAGAATTTTCATTTTTGGGTGAACTATCGCTTCAATAAACGATCAGGGTGTGTATAATTCATCAGCTCGTGTTATTCAGCAGGAAAAAACAGTTTTGACGGTGGTTCATTAAAATGTTATGACTTCCTCTGTCTATTTTATTCTGCTGACAAACTCCGGTTAAACAAGTACTGAAAGCACACTGCTATACACGACTACATGCAGCACACTTTATAATAAATTCATGCATTAAATTTATAAAAAACTGACAAATATTTATGCTATATTAGAAGGATACAAAGTTAGCATTAGCTTTACTATAAAAGATCTGCGTGTCATAGTAGACAGCAATTTAACTTTTGAAAATCATATATCCCATGTCACAAAAACTGCCTTCTTTCATCTGAGAAATATCACTAAGTTACAAAGTATGCTGTCCATCTCAGATGCAGAAAAGCTAGTCCATGCTTTTATGACTTCTAGATTGGATTACTCTAAGGCTCTGTTTGCTGGTTATTCTCACGATTCTTCACAAGGCTATTTTACAAATAAATAATATGAATATATCATACATCATCTTATAAAATATATTATTATATCATAAAGTAATGTGAATATACATTAATTATATAAATATCAATAAATAATATATATTATTTGTTTTGGAATTGAAAAGTTGGGTGTTTTTTTTTTTTCTAGAGAAATTTGTCTGGAAATCATTGCCCCTTTTGGAAACCCTGGCAATATTATCTTAACAATATTAAATATAGACCTTTTTCTTAGAACGCAAAATTCCCCATTACGCTTTGCGTGTATGCACAAGGAGAATGCTAAGCAGCTGATGCGTGTGAACAGTCACATTTGAACAGCTTTGAAACGATGGTTTTAATCTATTTTACCTGCTTTTATCATCTTTGAACTAATCCTGTTGTCGATCAGCGCCACCTTCTGGACTGATCATTTAAAAAATGCGATTAATGGGATGGAAAACAGCTGCTTTGAGGCATTTTCCACTCGTTGTCAGACGGCAACTGCAGTTTAAATGAAGCCTCGTCATCGCTAAAGTCAACGGTTTTCTTTTTATTTCAAATATATGACCAGTGGTTCAGTAGTTTTTCTCAAAAATTGTAATTTACTGAGTAGTTTTGTAAATGTGTACTTTTACTCTACCTTGAGTACATTTTTACTGCTGTATTGGTACTTTTAATCCACTACTTTCCTTCAACTTGTAGTCACTACTTTATTTCTTCTCTATGTGGATTTGAAAAATCAGTCCTGTGATTCCTGTCCAATCAAATCACACATAGGAGGAAAATCCCATCATAATGAACAACCTCAAGACATGGGCGATTTATAATTGCAGCAAACTGTTTTAATGCATTAAACGTGTCCAAAAAGATGTCTAAAATCTTTACACGCAATGACCCTGAGACTGTTTAGATGCAAGTCACCGATGAAAAGATGACAGATGTTTACTGTATGATGGCCAAAATGGCCTTAAACACCCAGCAGGCACATCAGATTGAGGTCAGAACCCAATGTCAGGCCTACTTCAATGTTCAAAGTCCAACCTAAAATCAATCAAATATCAACGTCTAATGATGTTAAAGCTTGACGCTGTGGGGACATTACCACTATGACGTCTATCAAACGTTGGGGTGGCCATACCTTACGAATAAATGTCAGTATTTGACGTCAATATGACGTTGGTTTAAGATGTTGGCTCGACGTTTGATTTTGGCCACTTTTTCCAACAACCTAAAATCAAGCAAATATCAACGTCATTATTGGATATTAATATAACGTTGTCTTTAGATGCTGACTAGACAAAAATTTGGTCACTTGACATCACAATCAAAATCTAACCTAATATTGACGTCTTTTGATGTTGTGTGGCTGCTGGGCAAAAACTAGATGCACTATAGAATGTTACGTTTACACACACATGCACAAATTACCTGTAAACACATCAGCTTTTTACAACGTAATACTCACCACTCACTCTTGAGTACTTTTGAAAGGTCTACTTTTTACTCTTACTTTGAGTATTATTTACAACAGAAACTTTTACTCTACTTGCACTACATTTTTGGGCAAGTAATGGTACTTTTACTTGAGTATAATTTTTCAGTTCTCTTTCCACCACTGTATATAACCAACTCAAACAAATGTAATTCACCAAAATGTTTGACACACACACGTAGCCTGTACTGTCCCACTGACACACTGATACAATAACTGTGACAAAGTGAAAATATAGGCTAGTGTCATTTTGAAATGACAGAAAAACACACATCGTGGTAAAAATAAAAACTAAATAAAACATAAGCAACTCGCCATTAGAATAAACAGCAAATCAGCCAGCAGAATATCAGTAACAGACTTTTATTGGTCATTTTTGTAAATTGCATGACTTGCGTACTTGTAAAGTTTCATGCCAGTAATCTGTTTTGCTCTATAATGCAGAGAAGTATAGTGCGCGCAGTGTGCATGTGTGTTGTAGAACCGCTGAGCTAACAGGCCGCGGAAAAACACACACACACACAGTATTTCTGACGGCAGACACGTGAACTAGGAGAACATTTTTCTCTTGCGCTTGAACCACATCTGACAGATAATAACAGCTTTAACATACACCTTTCTAAGTTGTGTGTCACAAAAACACTCTGTAATTCATTAAAAATGCTATTTAAACCCTTTTTCGGAGGGCAAATTACCTAGTGTAAACGATGTAAACGGAAGTTCTAACCATTCTACCGGAAGACGCTGGTTGCTATGGCGCCCTCCATGCAGCTGCAAAGAAAAAGGTCTATATAATGATTGAAATGATTAATGAATTATCACCACCACGTCCTCTAATTTAGTCTTTTAAAATATATTTCCCACAGAATAATTCCTCACTCGATTTCATTCAGAAATGTCAGCTTGTCAGAGTTAAACGTGTTGTGAAATCATTTCATGTCACTGTAATTAAGCATGGCATCAATCCATCACGCAAGATCTGATTGTGAATCATTAAAGCTGAAGGAATATTTGCACCAGCGGCAATAAAACCATGACTGCTGTACACTGAGATGAATGTGTAGGCTGATGTATTAATACACACGCACACACACGCACACACACGCACACACACACACACACACACACACACACACACACACACACACACACACACACACACACACACACACACACACAAACACACGCACACACACACACACTTGAAGTCAAAATTATTCGCCCTCCTGTGATTTTGTTTTCTTTTTCCAATAATTTCTCAATTTATGTTTAACAGAGGAAATGTTCACAGTATGTCTGATAATATTTTTTCTTCTGGAGAAAGTCTTATTTGTTTTATTTCAGCTAGAAGTTTTTAATTTTTTAAACACCATTTTTAAGAGTTCACACTTAGCTGATGATTGATAATAAAGCTTGTTTGGCGTGCTGTCCCGGGAGAGAGCCCTGAGCTTATAAGATCCTTGAGTCCTGGGCTCCCTCCCGTTGCAGAGCGAGAGGGGAGTTTGAGCTCTGGTAGATCTCGATGACTCCCCGTCCTGCTTATTGTAGCTAAGTGTCAGATATGGATGCTGAGAACGTGTACTCAGAGCTTGGCTAAAATGTTTTGGATTAATTGTTTAGGGTGCTTGTTTTTGAACTGTGGGAGGTGTAGGGTCCATCCAGTTGGTCCAATGATGGTGTCCACTGGTGGATGAAGGTTCACTGCATGTTCGGTCTTTCCAGTGTACAATGTTGATTTAGTTTAAATTTAACTCATATCTGACTCCAATTTTAGTATGAGGTGGGTTAGAATATTAATATATTTATCCTCATTTTATCTGACTCCATTTATAAAACATTGATAAGATTATATTGTTTCCTTTAACATTATTTTAGATTATGATCGAAGGTTCTTCAAGACAAAGATATTGAGATTAGAAAAGTCTGGTTATTTATAATGAGTTAAGGATCGTCTGATAGGATAATTAGTAATTAGCTAAAGTTGGAACAGCTGTGTATAATCATAAGCACGTGATCCTCTCGAAATTTGTTTATAAATAAACTTCACTTAAGGTCAAAATTATTAGCCCCCTTAAGCTATATATATATATATATATATATATATATATATATATATATATATATATATATATATATATTTTTTTTTTTATTTATTTTTTTTTTTTAAACATCGTTATACAATAACTTGCCTAATTATAACTAACTTTAACCTAATTAACCTAATTATGTATTTAAATGTCACTTAAAGTTGAATAATAGTATCTTGAAACAAATCTAGTCAAATATTATTCACTGTTATCATGAAAAAGATAAAAAAATCAGTTATTAGAGATGAGTTATTAAAACTATTATGATTAGAAATGTGTTGAACAAATCTTCTCTCCGTTGAACAGAAATTGGGGAAAAATATACATGGAGGCTGATAATTCTGACTTTAACTGTACACACACACACACACACACACACACACACACACACACACACACACACACACACACACAGCAGAACGTACTGTCTGTTTGCTGGCTCCTCTCTGGGTTTTGGTGTAGGGACTGAACTTGGGTTTGGCTGGTTTTCCTGCAGCTCTGTCTTTATGGCGTCTGCTGCTGATGTGCTGATGATTAAAGACACAGAATGACAGATGTGATGAGCTGACAGACAGTTTACAGGCTGTTTGACAACATTCAGCGCTGTTATGAATTTTTCATGGCAAATAAAAACACAATTTGCACTGCATATTTTTTAATTAGCACATGTACAGCACGTTAACGGTTTAACGAATGAGAAACAGGACTTTAGCTAACACTTCAAGTAAACAACGGGTAATCATAATTTTCATTATTTTTAAATACATTTTTATGAATCATTCATTTATTCATTTTGGTTTGGCTTAGTACCCTTTATTAATCTGGGGTCGCCACAGCGGAATGAGTAGGATAAACTTTTTATTCAATGAGAAAAGATGCGCGTAAACTACGATGGAAACCCTTTTACCGCACAATTTCCAGTATGCGCATTAAAAAAGGTCATGTGATTTTTGTATAAGAGATCATGTGATGATCAAAATGTGTGTGAATGGACAAATCAGCAGGCTGAGCACACTGTAAACCATCTGAACTGTTATTTTGGTCATTCTTAAATACCTTACCATTTAAGTATTAATGCTGTTATATTAATAATGACCTCCAGAATCAAGAGCGCTGTGCTCAGTGTCTGACACCTTCAAACCCACCCCACGTTCACTGCGTGTCAGGATTGCCTTCTGAGGTGCAAGTCATTTATTAGATGAAGAAAAGATTGACGCAGCTTCCCCTACTGCATCAAATTCCGATTTTACTGTTAATATTTGGTGCCAGATAATCAGGAAGTGACGATTTTGTTCGATTTGACTCGTTGGATGGAAACGCTGCTTTTATCGCACATCTTTTATGCGATAATACAGTTTTGCGCATAAAGTTTATACGCATTTTTGGATGGAAACACAGCTATTGTAAACTATTTTTAAACATTGGAAAAAACCAGATAATAATAATCACATTGTACATAAAACAAATATATAGTTTACATAACACGTGAAACATTAAAAATGTAAATAACTATATATATATATATATATATATATATATATATATATATATATATATATATATATATATTAGGGATGTAACGGTATCAGAATTTCACGGTACGGTAATACCTCGGTATGAATGTCACGGTACGGTATTTATTGAATCATTTACAGGAAAAAAAAAACTTTTGAAAATACTCCAAAAAAGTGCCAAAAGTGTCAATGACATACAAATTAGCCATCTATCTGTTAGCTTTGAAACAGGAACTTCAATTTTAATAACAAAAAATTATTAAACCATGTAAAAAAATAAAGTTTCAATTTAGTATTGTTAAAAACTCATCACATTTAACATTTAATCACTCACTTAGATAGAGATGGGTTTAAAGGAAAATTATCATATAACTATAATCTGGTAAAAGCTGGTATCTCTGAGTATTTACAATGTCCCCTGCAACAGAAAAAAACCCCTCTCATTTGGGACTGAGGATTCTGGGACAGAGAGATATGACTTGGCCCATGTTGACAGCAGTGGGGTAACGTTGTGCATTGTCTTTCCCCCACTTGAGAGGACAAACCATGAGTGAGATAGATAGAGGTCTCTTTGCGGTACAAGTCAATGTCTGCATCAATCTGAACAGTGTGCTGTGTTTCTGCAGTCCCCATGACTGTTATTAGTCGTATTCCCCAACTTGCTGGCACGTGCACACATAGGGCTCAACCTGTGCAGTGCACATGCCCTTTTAAGTCTTGGATAGAAAATGCCCTTCCAAAACGATCAAAAGTGCCCCCGCGACGCGACACAACCTCCGTCCAGTCCAGCCCTTCAATAGGCGCGCGATAACACCTCTCTTGAGTATGCGCGCTCAACCCCCCCTCGGCGCTTTACAATACGCGCGCCACAACACAGCTGATCAGAACGCGCGCGACAGCACCGCTATTCAGCACGCGCGCGGCGACAACACCCGCTTTAGGTTCGATCATTTCCATCTTTTTTTTCATCTCCGCTACTAGCAGCACACTCCATTTCCGCATTACTGGATCTGTAGCGACAACAGACCGCAAAGGATTATGGCCACGCCGGGGCTGATGGGAAATGAAGTTCCAGCTACCTCCCGTTCGCTTCATTCGCCTGAGCAAATTTTCTCAGAAGACCTATAGTTTTACCGAGTCATGCGACTTCGGTAATATCGAAAAAATTTAATATTGCGGTATGACGGTATTTACAATACCGTTACATCCCTAATATATATATATATATACACAAACACTCACAGGCCACTTTGTTAGGTACACCTGTCCAACTGCCCGTTAACACAATTTCTAATCAGCCAATCACATGGCAGCAAGTTAATGCATTTAGGCATGTAGACCTGATCAAGACGATCTGCTACAGTTCAAACCGAGCATCAGAATGAGGAAAAAAGGTGATCTACTGGGATTCTCACGCACAACCATTTCTAGAGTTTACAGAGAATGGCCCGAAAAAGAGAAAATATCCAGTGAGCGGCAGTCCTGTGGCCGCAAATGCCTAGTTGATAATAGAGGTCAGAGGAGACTGGTCAGACTGTTTCCAGCTGATAGAAAGGCAACATTAACTCAAATAACCACTTGTTACAACCGAGGTCTGCAGAAGAGCATCTCGGAACACACAACATGTCCAAGTTTGAGGCAGATGGGCTACAGCAGCAGAAGACCACACCTGGAGCCACTCCTGTCAGCTAAGAACAGGAAACTGAGGCTACAATTCACACAGACTCACCAAAATTTGACAATAGAAGATTGGAGAAACGTTGCCTGCTCTGATGAGTCTCCATTTCTGCTGCTGCATGGATCCATCCTGCCTTATGTCAACAGTTTAAGCTGGTGGTGCTGATGTTATAGTGTGAGGGATATTTTATTGCTACACTTTGAGCCCATTAGTACCAAATGAGCATTGTGGCAACGCCACAGCCTACCTGAGTATTGTTGCTGACCATGTTCATCCCATTATGGCCACAGTGTACCCATCTTCTGATGGCTACTTCCAGCAGGATAACGTGCCATGTCATAAAGCATCTCAGACATGACAATGAGTTCACTGTATTTAAATGGCCTCCACATTCACCAGAGCTAAATCCAATAGAGCACTTTAGGCATCTGGTGGAATGGGAGATTCGCATTATGGATGTGCAGCCGACAAATCTGCAGCAACTGTGTGATGCTATCATGTCAAGATGGAGCAAAATCTCTCAGGGATACTTCCAGTACCTTGTTGAATCTACGCCACGAAGGACTGAGGCAGTTCTGAAGGCAAAAGTGGGTTCAACCCGGAACAAATAAAGTGGCCAGTGTGTGTATAAATAAACACACACACACACACACACACACACACACACACACACACACACACACACACATATATATATATATATATAGTAAATTAAAATAGCTATAAGTTATCAGTCTGACTGTTTTGACAACATAAACATAAAAAAACAGTATTATTAATTAAAATATAATAAACAAAAGTATATAACAAAAATTTGTTTTCAGTGAAACAGAATTTAGTTTTACTAATATCTTAATTTGTGCTATATTCTAAATAAAATTTGGGTCTTACTTTATCTATTTTAAGCTCAATATACTACTAATAAGCTGCGTAATAATAGTTAGTAAGCTAGTAAGTGCTAATAAATAGTTAATATCTTAATAATGGGCAGGTAATAAGCCAGTAGTAAATGGTACAACCAAGTCAAATGAGTTGTATATTACACTGAAGTGGCTGAAATCCATATAATCTGACACAGAGTATATTGCCGGTGTCTCTTGAAATTCTGAGTGGCGTTCGGGTTCACCTGTTTGAGCTGCGTTTCTGAATTGACACGCACGTCGCAGGTTTCACAGTGAAATGTCTTGTTCTGCAGGCCGGTGTCTGCTGTTTTAGAGGCATCGGTGGGGAGTTTGCTCTTCTGCCCAGTCCTGGGGAAGGATTTGATGGAGCCGTTGCCGCTTCGAGCCTCCAGCATGGTTTTGTGTTTGGTGCCTGAGGAACGAAAACATGACAGTTTCAACACATTCATCATCCTAATGATACTCCTTCGCTACAGAAAAACAAAACTGCGAGGACTGGACAGGGTCTTTACCGCTCATGCATCGCATTTACAAGATGTTTTTGTGGAAAATGAAAGGGGATAGTTCACTCAAAAATGAGATATGTTGAAGAAAGCTGAAAACTGGTAACCATTGACTTGCATAGTAGAAAAACTATTGCTATAGAAGTCAATGGTTACAGGTTTCCAACATTTTTCTAAACATCTAAGATAGCTCATTAAGGTTTTTTTTTATACAGGCAAAGGGTGAGTAAATGATCATCATCTTAATGATATGCCTTTGCTAGAGAAAAATAAAACCGCGAGGACTGGACAGGGTCTTTCCTGCTCATGCATCGCATTTACAAGATGTTTATGTGGAAAAAGATATATGGGTTAAAGGGATAGTTCACTCAAAACTGAAATTTAATCACTATTTACTCGATCATTGTGAGTTCCTTTCTTTTGCTGAACACACAAAAAGAGACATATTGAAGAAAGCTGAAAACTAGTAACCATTGACTTCCATAGAAGAAAAACTATTGCTATAGAAGTCAATGATTACAGGTTTCCAACATTTTTCTAAATATTTAAGATAGCTCTTAAAGGTTTTTAAACAAGTAAAGGGTGAGTAAATGATCATCGTATTAATGTAACATATTAAAACTAAATCAGGAGGACTGGACAGGGTCTTTACCGCTCATGCATCGCATTTACAAGATGTTTTTGTGGAAAATGTTTGTTTGCGTTAACGGATTGTTCACTCAAAAATGTCATTTACTCACTATTTACTCAATCATCGTGAGTTTCTTTCTTCTGTTTAACACAAAAAAGAGATACTTTGAAGAATGTTGAAAACATGTAACCATTGACTTCCATAGTAGGAAAACTAATGGAAGTCAATGATTACATGTTTCCAACATTCTTCTAAACATCTAAGAAAACACATAAAGGTTTTTAAACAAGTAAAGGGTGAATAAATGACTGTCATATTAATGATACGCCTTCGATAGAGCAAAACAAAACCACAATGACTGGACAGGTTCTTTATCAATCATGTTTACAAGATATTTATGTGGAAAATGTTTCTATGCATTAAAGGGATAGTTCACTCAAAACTGAAATTTACTCACACATTACTCAATCATTGTGTGTTTCTTTCTTTTGTTGAACACACAAAAAGAGATATTTTAAAGAAAGCTGAAAATCGGTAACCATTTACTTACATAGTAGAAAAACTAACACTATGGAAGTCAATAGTTACAGGTTTTCAACATTTTTCTAAATATCTAAGATAGCTCATAAATGTTTTTATACAAGTAAAGGGTGAGTAAATGATCATCATCATAATGATACACCTTCGCTAGAGAAAAACTAAACTGCGAGGACTGGACAGGGTCTTTACCACTCATGCATCGCATTTACAAAATGTTTTTGTGGAAAATGTTTTTTAAAGGAATAGTACAGCCAAAAATGAATTTACCCATTATTTTCTCGATCATTGTGCGTTTCTTTCTTCTATTTAACACACAAAAAAATATATTTTAAAATAAGCTGAAAACCGGTAACCATTTACTTACATAGTAAAAAAACTAACACTATTAAAGTCAATGGTTACAGGTTTTCATAATTTTTCTAAATATCTAAGATAGCTCATAAGTGTTTTAAACATGTAAAGGGTGAGTAAATGATTATCATATTAATGATATGCCTTTGGTAGAGCAAAACAAAACCACAACGACTGGACAGGTTCTTTATCGTTCATGTTTACAAGATATTTTTGTAGAAAATGTTTGCATTATCTAAGGATAGTTCACTCAAAAATGTTATTTACCCACTATTTACTCACTACCTTTGTGAGTTTCTTTCTTTTGTTGAACACACACACACAAAAAAAAAACAAAGATAGAAGAAAGCTGAAAACCGGTAACCATTTACTTAGTTGCAAAAATTAATGGAAGTCAATGATTACAGGTTTCCAACATTTTTCTAAACATCTAAGATAGCTTTTAAAGTTTTTTAAACAAGTAAAGGGTGAGTAAATTGATCATCATCTTAATGATACGCCTTTGCTAGAGAAAAACTAAACCAGGAGGACTAGACAGGGTCTTTACCGCTCATGCATCGCATTTACAAGATGCTTCTGTGGAAAATCTTTGTATGCTTTTAAGGGATAGTTCACTTAAAAATGAAATTTAAGCACTATTTTCTTGATCATTGTCAGTTTCTTTCTTTTGTTGAAAACACAAAAAAGATATTTTGAAGAAAACTGAAACACAGTAACCATTTACTTACATAGTAGGAAAACTAATGGAAGTCAATGGTTACAGGTTTCCAACATTTTTCTAAACATCTAAAATAGCTCTTAAAGTTTTTTAAACAAGTAAAGGGTGAGTAAATGATCATCATATTATTGATAGGCCTTTGCTGGAGAAAAACAAAACCGTGAGGACTGGACAGGGTCTTTACCGCTCTTGCATCGCATTTACAAGATGCTTCTGTGGAAAATGTTTGTAAAAGGGACAGTTCAGCCAAAAAAAAATTTACTCAATCATTGTGAGTTTTTTTTTCTTCTGTTTAACACACAAAAAAGAGATACTTTGAAGAATGTTGGAAACGTAACCATTGACTTCCATAGCAGGAAAACTGATGGATGTCAATGGTTACATGTTTCCAACATTCTTCTAAAGATCTAAGATAGCTCATAAAGGTTTTTAAACAAGTAAATGATAAAGTGAATCATAATAATGATATGCCTTTGATAGAGCAAAACAAAACCGCAAGATAGGGTCTTTATCGTTTATGTGTACAAGATATTTTTGTGGAAAATGTTTGTTTGCATTATACAAGGATAGTTCACTCACAATTTTAATTTTTCCACTATTTGCTCAGCCTTATTGTGAGTTCTTTCTTTTGTTGAACACAAAAAAGAAAGAAGAAAGCTGAAAACCAGTAACATTTACTTTCATAGTTGCAAAAACTAATGGAAGTCAATGGTTACAGGTTTCCAACATTTTTCTAAATATTTTTACGCATTTATATCATTTGTAAAAAGACCTTATTTTGTGTTCAACAGAAGACAGAAACTTATAAAGGTTTTAAACGAGTAAAGGGTGAGAAAATGATAACAGAATAATGCACATTTTTATTTTTATACTTTAAGTATAAAATTAAATGCTAAGAGTGACTAAATTTATGCTTAAAGGTGTTTGCTTGCTAATAGTTTTAAAGACGTGTATCCATTTCGGTACAAAACTAAAATCTGAAGTTAAAAGATTATAAATAGAAGCACTGGATCAAACAGTGAAGGAAAAGCAGCCGCTGTGACTGCTCTGGTTTCACAAGTATTTTATGATTCATTTTCTCCATAAGCATGTGTTTAAAACTCTTTCAGAAGTTCCAAACCGTGAAGCAAATCAAGCAGTTCCACATCAAAACATCTATCTGAAGCGAAACATGTTTCAGAGCTGGGGAAAAGTTCGGATGGATGTACTTTCTTACAACAGTTTGGGTTGGCAAAATATTGAAAGTCTCTAGTGCTCACCAGAGCTTCACTCATTTGCTCAAACGCACTGTAGAATTGTCAGATATGATTACAGTTTAGGTTTTTATTTTTAATGCTACATTTCTGTCATTTAAAAATTAATCATCATCATTATTACTGCAGTTTTCAGTGTCATGATTTTTCATGATTTTTTCTGGGGTGGTTTTAGAGGGCCAGACCGATACAGTTAATTTGTTTAAAAAAAAAAAAATGAAATAGTCGACTCAGAGTCAAATATATGAATCGAGTTGGGTTCGGATCTTTTGGCTGTATGTCAGCATTGATATGGTACATCATCAAATATGTAGTTCCAGATCCGGTAAAACGTAAATGCTCCTTTCCCTTCAGACACTAGCAGAGGCGTGGGGGATCATGGGACTGATTATGACGCAAAGATGACGATCACTGACAGATGGAGATTTGGCTGTGGAGAATAAAGGGTTAAAGTTTATTTTCACAGCAATACATTAGTATAGCTGTCACCGACTCAGTCCCAGTCATTCCCCTCGCTGGCCAGCAGAGGTCACCATCACCAGACTTCTAGCCATTACGTCATGCACAAACACTGATTGCCACACACACCTGCAACACATCACACTGATGAACAACCTCACACATATAAGCAGCTCACACACTCAGTCCTGTGCGAAGTCTTGTTCTGCCCTGTCTGACATTACTGAGCGTTATTCCTTGCCTGATCTCCCGTGTATTACCTGGACTGTATCTTGACCTTGCCTTGCCTGCCGCCTGCCTCGAACCTTGCTTGTACCCTTGACTTTGATCCACGCTGGCTGCCCTGAACCCAGCCTGCTATTTTGCTTCTGAACCACGCCGCCTACCTCTGACCCATGCCTGCTATCACACTCCTTGACAGCCAGCCGCCAGCCCAGACCCATACTAACTATGTTTGATGTGAGTTCACACGCAAGTGCGTATTGTATGATTGTGATTAAATAAATATACTGCAAATGGATCCCTCCATGTCAGACTCCTCGTTACAATAACCCAGTGCTGTGTTTGTTCCTGTCATTTTTCTCATTTTTGATACAATAACCTACGCTGCAATGCAGGATTCGCCAGTCATTTGCTATTGAAGGAGCAGCAGAGACTATGATGCAAGGGACGTTGACAGACTTTGACAGGGACTTTGTTAGTAACTGTAACAGTTCAAATGGACCAGTTTCTTCTTCCTCCGGATCATGACATGTAAGTGTCATTAAAATTGTTGCCTAGTTTGGTGTAGTTTGCAAAATGTGTTTTAATTGTGTGTTATAAGTTGTAATCACCCCGCGCGGCTTGTAATCCCGTATCGATTATAGATCCGTGCTTGTATTGCATCTCTCATGTTAAATCTGTATGGGGCTGTTCACATATCACTTTCAAAAACAGGTTTAAAACGTGACGCGTGCTTCTTCCTTTACTGATTAAAATGAGTTTCTGAACTCGCGATCCTCTGTCGTTTTGTCTTTGTTATGGCCATATCAGTTGTTCCTACACACACGCGGTGCAGTCGGTTTTCAAAATAGTTCAACTTTAGCTACTGTGGAGTAATACTGAATGCATGTTCATTGGGGTTAGGGTTAAGCGTAGAGAAATACACTGGTGTTTAACTACAATGCTTTAATGAATTCCTGCATTGGGCTCTCACATACTTTCTGCTACTTCATAGCTGTGGTGGGCATTTCTCTCCATCTCGCGCTGAATGCAGTCGACCAATCACAACAGACTGGGTTGTTGGACCAATCAGCGCAGATTAGCTTCATGCTGAAGAGGGGTTTGGGAACAAATGAATCGCTGAACAAATCATATGGGAGTTGCTGAGATAATTATGTAAAAATAAATGCAGATTATAAGACGATGAAAGTGTATCAGCCCAAATATCAACACGAATATCAGCCTGTTGTTGGGGACCACCAAAACCAAAATATGACCTTTTATAATGCAAAATAGGGGCTCTTTAAAAAATAATCAACTTTACACAAAGTATTTAAAAGACAAGCATCACAATATCAACTTCGTATAAACGCCACAGGGTTGTTTGTTTGCTTAATTATTTATTTATTCATTTATTTATTTATTTAATTTTTATTTATTTATTTATTTATTTATTTATTTTTTATTCATTTATTTATTTCTTTATTTAATTTTTATTTCTTTATTTATTTTTATTTATTTCTTTATTTCTTTATTTTTTATTCATTTATTTATTCCTTTAATTAATTTTTTATTTGTTTATTTAATTATTTATTTATTTATTTTTTATTCACTTATTTATTACTTTATTTAATTTTTATTTAGTTTATTTATTTATTTTTATTTATTTATTTATTTATTTATTTATTTATTCATTCATCATTCATTCCCTCCCGGCGCTCTGAAATGTTTCAATTTTTTTCATCTTGCGGTGCCTGGAAACGTGAGCGTGACATATTGCATGTGCATCCCTTCCCATATAACGGAGCATGCATAAGACGCTATATGTGAAAGCCCCCTTTTGTTGACTCGTGCATCGTTTTTGTAAAGACCTGTGAAATGCAAGGCTCTGTTTGCGGTTGAATTTAGATTAAATAAATACTTGACCCGGGCTGATCGAAGAAGTCCAGGGGGCGCATGTGACCTGGTCTGATTTAAGCATTAACTCTTAAAATCGTTCTCTCGTCTTCAAGGAGTGTTTAAGTCCACTAGTCTAAAAGTCATGTGCTGTGGATAAGCTCACCGCTGTTATGCGCGTCCAGCTGTGACACAGAGTTCACCGCCACTTTACAGAGAGAGCAGTAGAGCAGACGCAGGGCTTTCTCATCCTCCGTCTCGGACTCTGGACTTGTCCCGCTGTGGTTCTCCTCTGATTCAGGCGGGACGGGTGTGCAGGAGGAACCGTCCTCTTCTCCTGATACTGAAGCAGACTCTGTGGAGTCAGTGCTGGGGCCAGACGCTGGAGCCGAAGAGGGTGATGAAGGGGCCACGAGAGCTCCTGCATCTCCACCTGCAAAACAATCAGTGGTGAAAACAGTACTAAAACCATACTCAAGTAAAAGTACCATCACTTGCCCCCAAAATGTCGTGCAAGTAGAGTTATCTGTTGTAAATATTACTACAAGTATGAGTAGAAAGTAGCCCTTTTAAAAGTACTCAAGAGTAGTGAGGATTACACTGTGAAAGTCTGATGCGTTTACATGCAATGTGCATGTGTGTGTGAAAACGTAACATTCTGTGGTGCATTTAATTATTGTTTAAAGCCATTGCGGTCATCATACAGTCGACATCCATCATCTTCTCATCAGAGACATGGGGCTCTATTTTGACGGTCCATGCTCAAAGCTCAAAACGCAGGGCGCAAATGCTTTCAGGGCGTGTCAGGACGCGTTTTTGCTAATTTAAGGATGGGAAATCTGCTTTGCGCCGTGGCGCATAGTCTAAAAGGGTAACTCTTAATGAGTTATATGTGTGTTTTAAGAATAAACCAATTAGAGTCTCATCTCCCATTCCCTTTAAGAGTCATCTGCATCGCGCCAAGAGCGCATTCGCTATTTACAGGACGCAAAGTAAGTCTAAGTGGAAAAACTGAGCATTTCACAATCAAACAGTTAACAGTTAACAGTTTTTTACAGAAAACTGTTAAACAGAGCATCTACTGCGTGAGAATGAGAGATAATAGATCACTTTCACTTTCGCTCTTGGATAGGGAAACCTTTACGCACAGACATCAATTAGCCTATAAATAAATACTTTTGTTTGTTAAGCGCAAATATTCGTTTCAAAACTTTTTCTAAATTCAGTTCTAATTTCCAGCAAACGAATAAATGAACAATAATAACAAAATGAGCTCAAAAACCTGAGTTACATCCTAAAACACATGCTGTGCCCCATATGGTCTAAAACCTGACAGGTGGACAAATCTAAGCTTGTTTTTAATAAAACAAGTATAAATATGGATATAATAAATAATACTGATAATAATAATAACATTATACAAAAGTAAATTGTTATGAATGAACTGAAAAAACCTCCCGAGATGAAGACATAAAAGCAGTGATTTTTTATATTTATGTAGGCTAGAAAATAATATGTTTTGTAATATTTTAATCCTTTATATTTATATTCTATATCTATCCTTATCATATCCTATATATATCCTTAATATTTAAATTTTTTCATATGTAAAGATATTTGCCTGTTGCTCTCTTGTGTGTATTAAGCAGTGTGTAAGCGAGGCGCAACTCTGTGCTGGAGTTTAAACCAGGTTAGTTTTGGTCTAATGAAAAATCTATTATAGTTTCTCAAAATAGCATCGCGCCAGCGGTCCGCCTCAGAACGCCTTCCTTTTTAGCCCAGAACGCCTATGGGCGCAAAAATGAGCGCTAATGCATTTGCTATTTAAACAGCGTAGCGCAACGCCCCAAAACGACTCTTGCGCCAAGCTTAAACTACCAAAAGACTACTGGGTAAAGCCTTGTGCCACACTGCGCCGCGTGTATAGGGCCCATACAGTCTAAACCAGGGCTATTCAATTAGTTTGTCATGGGGGCCAGTTCATGAAAAGCATCCCAAATGAGGGGCTGGAGAGATATGACTTGCAATAAGAGTGATGACACAACAGCATTTAAAAGCCCATATGTTGTATTTTTGCTCCTTAAGACAGCCACGATGACTTTTTCTACATTAAAACGTTAATATATTGTGTTTTGAAACTTCATAATATCACAAATGTTGTATTTCAGAGCACAACAAAAGCAGCGCATTGCTTATGTAGGCTTCTTCTACATCCAGAGACATTCATATGTTATGTTTTGAACTGCGTTACAATTATGGAAGGAACGACTATAGTTTTTGGTTGTACGATTATAGTCTGAATAATAATCATGGTTTCACAGTTATCATGTCTAATGTTACAGTTTTTCTCAGTGGCTTTGGTGCATTTCTCACAACACTATTTACATTTGCACAACAGTTTATGCATTTCTCAAAACAATTAGTACAAACTGCAAAACCTAGTTGATAACCTGCAAAAGCGCGTCACATGCTCAAAATGGATAGTTCATTCCTCAAAAGCAAGTATTTATGTCGATGAAAGTGTCAGTGTCATTAAGAAAAGAAAGAAAAGTCCCAACATCATTGTTTATGAACAAGACAGTCAAATGGCTTAGTCATGTTTTCATTATGACAGTTTAATCTGTAAAGTTTTTCCAATGAAAAAAAGTCAGATTTTGGTGACACTTCCTGAAAATGCTCAAGACAGCACTATATACTATTTGCACAGTGAAGGATTCGGATTTCTGCTTTATAATCCGCCTCATCATGGACCACCGTGTATTCTTTTCATTATCTTGTTTCTCAGTATTTAACTGTGAATTGATTTTAACTAATGAATAAGTTAAAACTGCTTAATATATGAATGTTCAGTGCATTTGCCTGTCTCTTTATATTTATTTTCAGAAGCCATCAAACTAGGTCAGAGGTCACGGAGACATTGAGTGGAGCTGAGGACTGGAAACAACTGTTTCTATTGTTATTTCTAGGAGTTAATACTGTCTAAAATGTCTAAAGTGATTTTGCTATTTTTAGGGTTAAATCTTTTAAAATGATTCTACTTTTTATTCAAGATAGACTTTGTGTAAGAATATAACTGCCTGAATGTAGATAATACCAGTTTTAACCAGTCTCGATAAAGACGGCTGACAGTACACTCAGCCTTGGATAAGCAACAGATTATACTTTATGTGTGTGTGTTCTATTTGATTGTTGATCCGTTTCACAGGTCTGGAGCCAGCTCTAATCAGTCTAAGGGATGTGTGACGTTTATGCTTAAGATATTGTTCAGAATATACGCACAAACCCCACGTGGAAATGTTTCTAGTCTATCTGTGTTTTAACCAATCAGGTTAGGACACCTGTATGTGTGACGCAGTTAATGACGTTATGTGAGAGTATAATTGTTATGGATTGGTGAATGTAAGCAGAGCGGCTTAGGAACTCATTGCGAGTGTTGAAGCTGGCTTCTGCGAATGAAACTGCAAAATATCTTCAGTAAACTTGATTTATTTATTTAAATCTCTGACTCCGGCTCTTCTTCATCTACCAGACTGGTCATTCTTTGGGTCAAACTGTAAACTATCCCTACAACAGCCATTTGAAAACTACAGTAAAGTTAGACATCACTGCATTTAGTGAGGTATCTGAGTACAAGACACTGAATATGTATGTTTCACATTTTTTCTGCATTTGCTCTTTATAATTCTAATATATTCACAGCATTGTGCAAAATTATGAATACAGCCTTTTTTACAGCAAACAAAGTTCCTTTGGGTAGAGCTGTGCACAACTGTAAACAATATTGCAGAACATATTGGAACTGAACCTACAACATTCACAGGTCAGTGAATCATTCATGAAATTGTTCAATAGTTTTGTCTGTAATGACTCGAGTAATGAAATGAGGACTATTCGTCTTATATGAAATGACCATTCAGCATTTACAAATTTAGTTACAGTTTTTCTCAGTGGCTTTGGTGCATTTCTCACAACACTATTTACATTTGCACAACAGTTCATGTATTTCTCAAAACAGTTAGTCATTTGGTCATATCCTAGTAGCAGTTTCTCATTCCTTTCAACAAACTGCAAATGCTTCTGGACATGCATCAATTGCTTTCATACAACTCTCTGCTGTTTATAACATCATTTGCTTATGTCATGTCAGTGAAAATGAACTAAACCTGTAAATGCTGAATAGTCATTACATATAAAACTAACAGTCCTCATTTCATTACTCGAGTCATTACAGACAAAAAATGTTGAACTTGATGTCAAAATCGGTCAAGCAAACTTTATAAAAAAAATTAAAATCTTTGTTTTCCTGAAAATGTTGCAGGTTTAGGTCCAGTATGTACTGCAATATTGTGTACATTTGTGCACAGTTCAACCCAAAGGGAGTTTGTTTTTTGTAAATAAGGCTGTATTTATTCTTTTGCACAATGCTGTGAATAAATTAGGATTGTAAAGAGCAAATGCAGTAAAAATGTGAAACATACATATTCAGTGTCTTGTACTCAGATACCTCACTAAAGTGATGTCTAACTTTACTGTAGTTTTCAAATGGCTATGCAAATAGTATACAGTGCTGTCTTGAGCATTTTCAGGAAGTGTCACCAACATCTGACTTTTTAGCATCGGAAAAAATTACAGAGTAAACTCATAATGAAAACATGACAAAGCCATTTGACTATCTTGTTCATAAACAATGCTGTCAGGACTTTTCATCCTGATGATTGTGACACTTTGATTGACATCAATACTTGCTTTTGAGGAATGAACTCTTCATTTTAAGTAATTGATGCACTTTTGCAGGTTATCAACTAGGTCTTGCAGTTTGTACTAAGTGTTTAGAGAGATGCATTAACTTTTGTGCAGAAATGCACTGGTGTTGTGAGAAGTGCACCAAAGCCACTGAGAAAAACTGTAATTTTGACTGACATGACATAAGCAAATGATAATGTTATAAAACAGCAGAGAGTTGTAGAAAAGCAACTGATGGATGTCCAAAAGGATTCGCAATTTGCTGGAAGGAATGAGAAACTGCTACTATGATGTGCACATGACTAATTGTTATGAGAAATGCATGAACTGTTGTGCAAATGTAAATAGTGTTGTGAGAAAAGTGAAAGGCACGAACTGTGAAAGAAATGTGGAAGGCGCGAACACATCGCTCCATTTGTGCACGCATATTGGCATATATTCATTCATTTGAAATAACGAACTTATGCGTGGAAAAGATGCGATATATGAACAGCACGCTGCTATAGTTAATCCAGTGTGTGTGCATATTAGCCTCAGTGTATAAGCTCGGAACCTTGAACTAGCACACAGGCGGAATAACTTTGTTTAGTTGCAGCAGTTTCATTCCGTGCAACAGAAACACGCTGTTGAGAAGCCTTTAAGCTTAAGTATCCAACTGTTTTTGGCTGCTTGCGCCACTCGCTTAATGCA